GAGTTTGGCTCTATATGAGGCAAATGTTACACTAATTGTAGCTTAGGCTACTCTCCCTTGCCTTTAGTAGGCCTATTTAGCACAAATTCATAAAGGCCTATACTCAATTTATTTAAAAAACATATCACACAAGATAATAAAATAGCCTACAATAGGCTACTTAAATAAACACAGAATAAACAGAGTTTGATATATAGATGATAGATGATAGAGCAGTTACAGTAGGCTAAATAACTTCAGAAGACAGTCAGGACACATCCACTCGTCAGGTTGTAACAGACCAAGATGACCAGCAGAGGTCCAACTTAATGTTCCTATTGCAGCAGTTGGCTTGTGGAACAGGGTCTGAGAAAGATAGACACAAACTGATTGTGGAGTAGACCTATGCTGAATAGAACTGCCTCTAAGATTAGTAGGCAATCTATATTACCTATCTATAAAGCATTTCAAAATGTGTAATTGTTTTGTAGCTATATTATGTTATCAATATCAAGAAGGTTGATAAAGATCAGCCTATCATTTCAATTACTAAAAGTGACATGCATTCTCTCCCAAGACATCTCAAGGTCACATGTTCATTTAATTCTAAAACATTAGTAACAAATATCAAAAACAATATATTTAAAAGGCTGAAATATATTATTAATATAAAGTACCCACTGGGCACAGACGTCAATTCAAAGTCTATTCCACATTGGTTCAACATAATTTCATTGAAATGATGTGGAAACAACGTTGATTCCACCAGTAGATTCAACCACATCCCATGCCCTTCTGGTGTAGCCTAAATCCTCAGTGTATGTCAAACATCCTTTTAACCCACATGTACCAGATGAGTGAATTAAGTGGACTCTGTTAAAACCTGCCAACCTGCATTTTTCGCTGGATATTTGCCCTACTTCCTGGTCACATTTCAACAGATACTGTGCACCCAGCAGTCCCCATAGCATTATTTTATACTGGATTAAAACATTTGATTTGAGCACAGAACTTGGGAGACATTTCTCACCTTCCTATATCTGGTTCTATTTAAGGCAATCTAGTGACATATAATCTGAGGGCAACAGAGATGCCACTAAGGCGAAGGGAAGGAAATCCATGTTGAATGTCACATCACAGCTTGAGTGCACAGGAATCTTGGCCAGGCAGGCTGGCAGGCGACTCCCCAGACAGTCTCTGGCACTATATCTGCCTTTTCTCTCCCTCTACTGAGTCACTATCCCACTTAGACTGATTCCCCCCAGCAGAAAACATAGTGGCATGTGAGGGCTTTTTCCCAATTCATCTGTTTATCTCCCCCTCCACGTGCACGTCAGATATAGTGTTGTGCTCCTCTATCAGCTGGCTCTATTTGGAGTCACTGTCTGAAGGCAAAGCACAATCTCCTACATCACTGATGCTGGACCTGGGTCATTGCTTTTCCACTGACACACATGAATTGAACCGCTCATTCAGCTGTGTAGTAGACATGGCAGTCTCATGGTAATAATGGTTTGGGGATTAAACAGATAATTCCCATTCTTAAAATGTGCAGAGTCCACATGACTGTGCCAATATGAACCCAATCCCACTGTTTGTGTGACATGCAAAAATATGTACGAATCCCCTATCACAAAACAGAAAGTATGGGTGAAGGCTACCATTCGGTAGTGGATCTTTTAGCTTTTTTTAAATTACAGAACAGCATGCTCTATTTGGGGTGACATCCCATCCCGGTGCTCGACAATGGACTAATTGTCCATTAATTGACATTGTGAGTGAGGAGTAAAACATAGGGAAATGTATATGCTTTGGCCTAGTTTAAATAGGCATTGGGATGGTGTCACACCCTGGCTCTGGGACTCTATATGTTGAGCCAGGGTGTGTTCATTCTATGTGTTCTGTTTCTATGTTGGGAGTTCTAGTTTGTTTATTTCTATGTTGGCCTGAGTGACTCCCAATCAGAGGCAACGAGTGTCAGCTGTGGCTGGTTGTCTCTGATTGGGAGCCATATTTAAACTGTCTGTTTTTTCCCTTTGTGTTTGTGGGTTCTTGTTCCAGTTGGTTTTGTGTTTTGTACCGTGGACTTCACGAGTCGTTTGTTGTTTTGTTCATTGTCAGTATTTATCACTATAGATAAATAAACATGTTCGTTCATCACGCTGCGCCTTGGTCTATTCCATACGACGATCGTGACAGAAGATCCCACCATACCAGGACCAAGCAGCGTGTCCAGGAGCAGGGGTCCTGGACCTGGGAGGAAATCCAGGCCGGGATGGATCGCCGTCCATGGAGGGAGACGGTAGAGGCGCGACGGAGAGAGGAGCAACGGCGTCAACAGGGTCGTCGTCGGACGGACGAGAGGCAACCCCAAACAATTTTTAGGGGGGGGCATACGGCATGGGCGACGGGGCAGCAGGAGGCAGCTACAGGGCGTAGTAGGAGGTTAGGTGAGGAGGCCACCAGGTTAAGGGGGCTATTGGCGCAGAGGGAGCAGGAGTTAGTGGTGCAGAGGGTAGAGTTACTGGAGGCGATAAGGGAGAAGGTGAGAATAGAGGCACGGCGAGAGGAACTAGGTAGGCAGCTGAGGGAGCGGAGGGTTATGACGAAACCCAGTCCCGCTCCTCACACCAAGCAAGTGGTGTGCGTCACCAGTCCGGTCCGGCCCGTTCCTGCTCCCCGCACTAAGTTAATGGTGCGCGTCGCCAGTCCGGCCCGACCTGTTCCTGCCCCTCGCACCAAGCCTAGGGTGCGCGTCGCCAGCCCGGCCCGGCCTGTTCCTGCCCATCGCACCAAGCCTACGGTGCGCGTCGCCAGCCCAGTCCGGCCTGTTCCTGCTCCCCGCACCAAGCCTACGGTGCGCGTCGCCAGCCCGGCCCGGCCTGTTCCTGCCCCTCGCACCAAGCCTACGGTGTGCGTCGCCAGCCCGGTCCGGCCTGTTCCTGCCCCTCGCACCAAGCCTACGGTGTGCGTCGCCAGCCCGGTCCGGCCTGTTCCTGCCACTCGCACCAAGTCTACGGTGCGCGTCGCCAGCCCGGCCCGGCCTGTTCCTGCCACTCGCACCAAGTCTACGGTGCGCGTCGCCAGCCCGGCCCGGCCTGTTCCTGCCACTCGCACCAAGCCTACGGTGCGCGTCGCCAGCCCGGCCCGGCCTGTTCCTGCCACTCGCACCAAGCCTACGGTACGCGTCGCCAGCCCGGCCCAGCCTGTTCCTGCCACTCGCACCAAGCCAGGGGTGCGAGTCGTCAGCCTGGTCCAGCCTGTTCCTGCCACTCGCACCAAGCCAGGGGTGCGAGTCGTCAGCCTGGTCCAGCCCGTTCCTGCTACTCGCACCAAGCCAGGGGTGCGCATCGTCAGCCCGGTCCGGCCCGTTGCTGCTCCACGCACCAAGCCAGGGGTGCGAGTCGTCAGTCCGGTGAGGCCCGTTCCGGCTCCACGCACCAAGCCAGGGGTGCGCATCGTCAGCCCGGTCCGGTCCGTTCCTGCTCCACGCACCAAGCCAGGGGTGCGAGTCGTCAGTACGGTGAGGCCCGTTCCGGCTCTACGCACCAAGCCAGGGGTGCGTATCGTCAGCCCGGTCCGGTCCGTTCCTGCTCCACGCACCAAGCCAGGGGTGCGTATCGTCAGCCCGGTCCGGCCCGTTGCTGCTCCACGCACCAAGCCAGGGGTGCGCATCGTCAGCCCGGTCCGGTCCGTTCCTGCCTCACGCACCAAGCCAGGGGTGCGCGTCGTCAGTCCGGCACAACCAGTGCCTGGGTCACCGGTGCCTAATCAGGTACCGCTCAACTGCTCCACAACGGAGCTGAAGCTAACCGCTCCTGCTACGTCCAGTTCAGCTCCAGCCAGCGGGGCCAGACCGGACCAGGGGCGCTATGGGGGGAGTATTGGAGGGTGGTGGGCAAGCCCGGAGCCAGAACCGCCGCCGAGGAGGAATGCCCACCCAGCCCTCCCCTGTTTTGCTCTAGTTGAGGCGCGGTCGCAGTCCGCGCCTTTAGGGGGGGGTACTGTCACACCCTGGCTCTGGGACTCTATATGTTGAGCCAGGGTGTGTTCATTCTATGTGTTTTGTTTCTATGTTGGGAGTTCTAGTTTGTTTATTTCTATGTTGGCCTGAGTGACTCCCAATCAGAGGCAACGAGTGTCAGCTGTGGCTGGTTGTCTCTGATTGGGAGCCATATTTAAACTGTCTGTTTTTCCCTTTGTGTTTGTGGGTTCTTGTTCCAGTTGGTTTTGTGTTTTGTACCGTGGACTTCACGAGTCGTTTGTTGTTTTGTTCATTGTCAGTATTTATCACTATAGATAAATAAACATGTTCGTTCATCACGCTGCGCCTTGGTCTATTCCATACGACGATCGTGACAGATGGCAGAGTTAAAGGTCCAATGCAGCTGTTTTTATCTCAATTTCAAATCATTTTTGGTAACAATTAAGTACCTTACTGTGTTTTCAATTATAATGGTCAAAAATGAACAAAAGCCCACTGGACATGTTTAAAGGTATACTTCGGGATTTTGGCAATGAACCTTTATGAACCCTTTATTTACTTCCCCAGAGTCAGATAAACTTGTGGATACTATTTTTATGTCTCTGCATGCAGTTTGGAGTTGCTAACTAGCGTTAGCGCAATTACTAACTTTCATTTGCACAATGACTGGAAGTCTATGGTATAACAGCTGTTATCATTGACATCCAGTCATTGTGCTAATGCTAGTTAGCATAGGCTAGATCAGTTAATATTTGTCTATTGTATTATCTATAATCTATAAAGCTTCATCAACATGAAATGTAACCTCAGTTTGAACCTCAGAGTTATTTTTCATCCTGGTGTATTTGAAAGTAAAGGACACCGGACATATAAAGCCGACATACTATTTTCACCTGTCTCCCACTGTAAATTCAATTTCATCCTGGAAACCGAGTCAACTGCGTTTGGTTTGGGCGAGCGGAGCGCCAGTGCCGAGTTTCGTCGGTGACGTCTGTCGCCAGTACCCGCCCCATTCAGTCATCGCCCTGGCTTTGCTGCATAGACCGCACAAGAACCTGGACCAAAGGAGGCAGAATTTCAGTTTCTTATCCATTATCGCTATGGGAATTATACCATTCTTTCAGAACCAATCTCTCATCACATACTATCTGAAGCTAGTCCACCCTCGACACACAGACTATAAAAAACTGCCGGTTGAAGGAACACCAGCAGTAGATTGTTATTATTGCTTTATAGCCAGTAGTGTTTCTAGAATATGTGTCCTGCTGATGCAGGAATGATGTACCACCCTGTGCGATGAGAAGTAACCAAACATTTGCTCAGAACTGGAAAATGTCAGTGCTCTGTATGTCTGTGGCGGTAAGTACAAGGCACCTTTGTCTATAATTTTATTCTTATTATAGGCGTACTCCCCGGCAGGTTCTCGATTTAAAGAGACAGCGCCTATTTTTGCGGTTGTCCGGATTTAAACCTGCCGGTATGTGCAATTAGTCAAGTGAATATATTGTTAACTTTGATAATTCTATAATTCATGCATTGTACGCCTAATCTTGTATAATAGGCTACTACATCTATATATATATATTAAATAATACAATATATATATATTGTCAGAACAGAATGGAAGGATGGAGAACAATAGCACATATATGACTCTATTGTTTGCCCATTGAGAATGACACTAACGTTAATATTAATCATATTGCAGGCTACATGTAAATGGGAATCATTGCTTGTTATTAGCTAACATGAATTCATTGTACACTAATTTGCTGTAAAATATTAATGATATATAATATAATCTTAAGAAGCCCTGTATTCAAACAGCTTTTATGGGACTCTACCCCTATGTGGTCATATATGTACTGAAAACATCCCATACTAACATGTCAGGTTCCCATACAAAGACTTCAGGCTTTGTTTTCTCCATGCTGGAGGAAAACATAGGGAAAACATCGACTACATTTGAATTGCTGTAGTGGATGTTGACCTACCCTGCCTCCATCTAATTTAACACTTCTATTTAAGGAATGTTCTCATTTATACATAGATCCATGTATCTTTGTCTTATTGACACTTCAGAATGGACTCTTCAGAACATACAGCGCAGGGCTATATTTATATGAGTGCTATACCAACTGATCAGCCAGAGAGAACACACCATATAGAAATCTGCATGTTTCATTACCAATTTATAGAAGTTTTACATTTTTATTTATTTAATTGTATTATTTGGCCAAATCCTGATAGTAGGGTGGTATCTAAACTACTTTACAGATACAGTAGTCCATCATTCAATACAATCAATGATTAACATTTAAGCAGTAAATGGGTCGTCCTTATCTCCTAGCATCACCATGGAACAGATATTATAACAACATTATATTTTCCATTCAAATATTTAAATGTATGTCAGTCAGTTCTGTGTTTGGGCCCCTCTGTGTATCTTCTCTGAGGTGAAGTCCACTGGTTGTTTGTGTTTGTGCTGTTGGCAGTACATTGTGACATTAGCAAGAATATTCTTCACTGGCCCATGAAGGAGGAGGCTCCACTGGCTTTTGTCAGTGATAAATGAGGCATGACTGCATCCAAACAAATTCTATTTTCCTCTCCGCTTAGTTGCATGATGATGTTGCAACAGGTGCTGGTTTGGTTGTGTGTTATCTGGTACTGTAATGGCTTATGGAAAGCTTAATGTTGTTCAAGACACACACAGAGTTACTTTTGCACTGTTGTGGCAAACAGCCATATCTTCCATGTACAACAGCACAGTTAGGCTGTGAGCTGGATGTTGTGGATGATACCAGAGGCTCTGACAACAACAATGGAATGCAGCATGTTGCGGCACATGTATGTACTGTATGTGCGGTTATTTTAAAATAATGTCAAAAAATGTAAAAAAGAAAAATACACCTGCCAAATGGCAGTGTGTCTGTCCATTTCCCGTATCAGATTTCTGATGGATGCTTTCACTTGCCCTTTGTGTGTTGCTCAGAGATGTGTTTGCCTATGCGGTCGGCCTAACTTTGAGGTGTTACCTAACACATGGACAGGCACATGCACGCACGCACACACACACACACACTCACACTCATAGGGGTTGTCATCATGTGCACTCGACCCCTAGACCTTAGGCACATAACTGACAGTATACTAAGTGAACTGTGTGTGCCGTCTTGTCACACGTCTCATGCAGAAAAGGTGGAGATGGATCACCCCATCCTCTCACAGTAAGGATGAGAAAGTGTTGAAACCGAAAGATTGTTCTGGTTCAACATGTCACTGAACCATGCTGATTGAAAACCATTGCCCAAATGCCTAAGCGTTTCCTTTGTGTTACCGTTAGGTGCATGATGTGCAAAGAGGCCCTGTACAAAGGGGTTGTGTGTGTCTTGGGGCGGGCGTGTTGTTGTTGGAGGTTGAATTACAGAGTGTTCAGGCAGGCAGTGCAGATTTAGCTGAGTCTGGCTGTCTCTCCAGGAACCAGCCCTGCAGCCAGCAGCAGCAGCAGCACTGCAGTGACACGGCATAAACGGGCTGGCCCATCCTTTCCTCTCCTCTCCTCTCTTCCCTCTGTCCTCCAGCCAGGGAGGGAGCATCCTGATATCACTATCACTAACCTCCTGGGGCTCAGCTCTAAACATATGAGTCATAGAACTAGTGCTGCTATGGTTTTAGTATTTCCCTTCACTATTAATAATGTCCATGTCCATGTATCAAATGTATTAGATTTAGATGATTCTACTGAATATATATCTACAAACCAGATTATACTACATTATTTATAAAATCAAATCAAATCAAATTTATTGGTCACATACACATGGTTATCAGATGTTATTGCGAGTTTAGCGAAATGCTTTGTATCCTGCATGGCAGGTATGAAATGCTGAAGAGGGTTGAGGTAGATTCAGAGTAATAGAGGTAGTTATCAGTGATTCATGCCCACTCACAGGCTGTGTGGGGTGGTGTTGATGGGCAGTCTCTCTCCGACAGCAGCAGTCTCCTGACAGGGTGCCAGCAGTGCGTTCTTTCACACAGGAGATGCAGTGACACGAGCCTGCTCTCTTATCTGAGCTAGAAGGGAGGGACATTCACTCGCTCTCCTCGCACTCTCTCTCTCTCTCTCTCTCGCACACACGTACACACACATTCATTCACACCACAAACCGTCAATATCTGTGCTGTTCAGGCCACTAATGTCCCTGCAGTGTGTCACATGTTGAATATTACCAGTTGCACACTTGCTTTTTATTCGGTAAATATGTGACGTGGCTGGAGCTGGAACATTTTGTTCCTCATGACGTGTCATCAACAGGCAGAGTGTGTTGACAAAAAATTATGTGGTTTGAGTAAGGATGTTGCCCTTAATTACTCCTTATCTTCAAATGTGCTTTCCGTCTCAAGGGTCAATTTGCACATGATGATTTTACATAACCGAACGAAACTCATAGGATTCTACAAGAAATGTAGTCCTGGGACCAGTGTTACTGTTTAGGAATGAGTCCTGGGAAGTGGACTGACCCCTTAGGGCCCCTGGTCTGTAGAGGGGAATTTGTCCAGTCATCAGCAGAATTTGATGACTGTCTCCTCCAGTGCCTGACTTCAAATCCGCATGGCATCGTTTAAAAAATGCAATTACAACCAGAGTTTGTAGAGGTGGTTGCATTCTCCTGCTCAGACGTTGCATGCATCAACCAATGGTTGCATGCCACATCATCGACTGTGCTGTCGGGCAGCAGATTGCTATAACATATGGGGTGTGTTGCTCTGCCCAGGCATTGCTGACGCATGCCTGATCTTACAATGCCTGGATAGGTATTTTACGTATCAGCTAGCTGCTAACCACATCAAATGTTATAGCAATCTGGTGCTCAACGGCACAGTCGATGGCGTGGAACGCAACCATTGGTCGATTCATGCAATGTCTGAGCAAGGGAACGTAACCTTGATGTGGTTAGCTGATACATAAATTACCTATCCAGGTGTTGTAAGATCTGGCATGCGTCAGCAACGCCTGGGCAGATGAATGCTCCCATGGTTATGCGCAACTGCGCAACAGATTGTTGTTTCTGAAGGGAGGCCCACTCTCTCAGACTTTGAAAACGCCTGAATTAGGACATTCTCGTTTCTCTGTGAGGTCTACTGCAGTGTGTAAACCATTAAAAGCACTCTGGATTTGCCTCCCAACTTTTAATAGGGCTTTGCATGTACAGAAAGTGATGATGCAGCCACCTTGCTCTCCCTGCATATCGGCAGTTATTGCCTCCAACATCATATTTCTGTGACAAATTGGCACCCTTGCCAAAGAATTTAGAAAAAAAGAGCCACATCCCAGCCAGCTCCACATTTAAGAGAGGAAATAAAACATGCAGGCTGCCATTAGAAGGAATTTCATGAAGGATCTGCATTAGGGCTAGACTGGATGTACTGTAAATGCAGTGAAAGGAGTGGAGGAGGGTTGTTGTGGATGCTGATGACATTTCACTGCTATGGAACACATTCAAGCCATAATTACTTCAGAATGGATGCCCGTCAGCGAAAGTCAAACAGAAGGTCATCACACATCAACAGAACATTGGCTACTCTGTTTTTTCACCAGATTTCATCTTGATGAAATTCCTCAATGTGCTGTTTAGAACATCAGCCAAGTTGTGGTACCTGTAATTTGAATGGATTTTCAAGTGCTTACTATTTTCATGTCCCTTGGATGGATATCCTTAACATAAATATTTTACATTTCTGAAAAAAACGAAATACAACCATGTTGAGCTCGCCTTGTTAAAAAATAGACTGATATATATTTAGTCTCTTTATAAAGTTATTTCAATTAGTTTATTGGATCTATTACAGGTTGTAACAACAACAACAAAAGATTGACGACAACAGAAAAACGTAACATTATATTAGTACTAATGGAATTATATAGATTGTAGACATAATATACTTATCCATAGTCCCAGTCGGTATTAGATAGAACCTAGGTTACCCCATTGGCTCACAGTAAAAACGTGAACATTTTCTTGTTGTCTGTTTGTTTTAGTCAATTACAAAACTACATTAAGGAAAGTACAACATGTTTAAAGATTACTTTTCAACATTGCCTGCTCCCGAGCATTCTCACTGCATAGAAAAACATAATATTGTAGGGCTTCCCTCATGCCCCTTTTCATGGCGGTGCTAGCAGCCACGTGAGTGAGTGTTAGCTAGCTACCAACCGGAACAATAACCTAGCCAAGACCAACAACCCAAACGAACTGACTATACAGCTACAAGTAGTGAGTGGAGTTACAAATGGACTATACTAAACAAGTTAAATGTCTTACCTGTGATTAAATGTTTTCCACACACATAGCTACATGTAGCCTACTTCGACACCGGGTCCCTACATTTCCCACTCTCCCACGCCAAATAGCCTGAAGTCACAGGGCTCTTCTTGCGGTCTCTATTTCCCTACATGGGAGCATTACGAACCGTAGGTCGGGATTTTTGACCTGGTTACATGTACATTGAACAAAACAGCAGCTTTTCGGCACGTTTTGTTATTTCTGTATAATGGGGGTCAATGGGAAAGAATGTTTGTTTTCCCCAATTTGTGGGTGTAGTCGAGGGGAATTCCTTATTATTATGTGAATATCACCTCAGAGTATTCCATAGTGATGTCATTGTTAGAGCATGACCCATGACCTAGCTTCTGTCAAATAACAGTAAGCGGGAAAGCCAGTAGGTTACTTAGCATTAGGGTTGAGAATGTGCTCTGTAATGTTGAATCACTGCAAATGTTTCTGACTCACTGTCCTTTAACTATAGCCAGTTTGGGGGTTTATAGGGGTGACTTTGCCTTAGCTGTGGTTGTTTTCACTCATCCATTTATTTGGTAAATAAGCTGAAGCCTGGGTCTCTAACTGCAACTCTATGTGTTGTCATCTTTTCTGCAGTACATTGTCCAAGCTCAACACTGTCTCTGTTGTCATTTCTTTCTGTTCTCAGCTACTGTACAGTGTGGTTGGTGAGGCCTCCATCCAGACTCTGACACCCATTCCTGCCACTGAGATAGTGGCCCTGTCTGCCCGCCACTACTACCACACAGACCCCAGCACGGGCAGTCAACTGGTCTGTGACAAGTGCCCTGCGGGAACCTTCGTGTCCAGGCACTGCACCCAGACCAACGTGAGGGAGTGCAGCCGCTGCGGCGAGGGCACATTTACGCGTGGAGAGAACGGGGTTCAGCAATGCCACCACTGCAGGAGGCCCTGCCGCGCCCCCCTCGTTGAGAAGGTTCCCTGCACGGCTACCTTGGACCGGGTCTGCACCTGCCCCCCGGACACCTTCGCCAAGGGGGACACCTGCACTCCCCACTCCCTGTGCCCTGTGGGCTCAGGGGTGAAGAAAAGGGGCAGCAAGGTGGAGGATGTAAGCTGTAAGGTGTGTGCGCGAGGTAGCTTCTCGGACGTGGTCTCCAGTGTATTGAGGTGCAGGACACAGACAGACTGCCAGGCCCAGGGTCTGCCCCTACTGGCAGCGGGCACCAGAGAGGCAGACAACATCTGTGGACCTGCTTCTCCCACCTCCCCCACCCTCCTGGGACCTGCACAGTCTGCCTTCGTCCAGGAGACCTCCTCTTCCTCCTCCTCAGCTGGCCCAGTACACAAAGGTAAGGCAGTGCCCTAGGACAGTGGACCCGACTCCCTCAACTACTTTACATCTGTTGCTACCCAACCCAGGCTATTTTGCTACGTGTTTCAGTTGAGGATCACCCTAGACATCACCTCAAGGGGGTTGTAATCCTCATGTAGAAACTCTAGGGGAAGCCCAGACTGTAAAACAGGTTTGTGTTCCTAAACAACATGTCCCCACATGGCTGTTATTCTCCCGATTTAGTCTGTCACATCAAACATTGGCCTGGCCATCAGATACTGTACAGTGATAAAGTGACATGTTTGATCTTGGTGGAAAACATGTTTTTGTTTCCATTCAATCCCAGACTAATAATAATATAACATAATATGCCATTTAGCAGACGCTTTTATCCAAAGCGACTTACAGTCATGCGTGCATACATTTTTTTTTGTGTGTGTATTTTTTTGACTACTCGCTAGCTTGTTCTCACTCTTGTCCAAAAAGGTAATGTCTGTACATTTGTTTTGTATTTGCTTATAGAGGGGAATGTGGAATAAACTGGGTAAACGGTTGCCCTTTTACTTAGATACATCTCACGCTTACGAAAACAAGGGGAAGCCATTATGACTATACATTCAACAGAGAGAGAGCTTCCTTTGTAGTGGTTGTTGTTTTTTCTTCCCAACAGCCAAGCGTTATGTAGCCTAACAGGTCATATTGACAACGATCACAAAGGATGCTCATCTGAAACACATAAAAGCATTCAAGTGAAACGTTCCTCTTTTTTCTACAAATATTAGGCTTTCTATGTGCGAAAAATTTGAAACAGTTTTCTCTTTAGGAAATATTTCCTCATTTTCTGGGGGTCATAGAAGATACTACTCATTCCCAAAATGCTACAAGTAGTTACTCACTGAAAATGTTACTATGGCAACATAGTTCACAGAGACTAACTAACTATTTAGTTGTTGTCTCTGATGGATTACAAGTTGAAGGACATTTGAGACTGTAAAAATAAACATATGGCATCTGGAACTTAAGGAAGCAGCTACAGTATTTCCAGACACAGGACTGTACAAGTCTCTCTTTAATTTTTTCTTCTGCTGGTGCTTTTGTCCACAGTTTAGTCAGTAGTATTTCACAATGTCAACCTATTGTAACAGATCATTAATGCCACTGCTGTTTGTCTTGTGTGTAGATAAATAGCCTCTCTCTTGGTTAAATTGCCCCCTCGTTCAGTGAGAATGGCTGAAGGGTCCACTTCCACACATACTACAGAGATCCCCATGCCTCAGTCTCATTCTCAGCTGAGTCTGTATCAATGAGAAGGGAGGGGGAGGAGGCTGTTGCACAAAAGCTGCCAAGACCGGACAGTGTGACCCCATGCAGTGAGGAACTGAAATCAGTGTAGTTGAGATGGAGATGCCGGTAACAGAGCTTGCTTCTGGATTACCTGTGCACTGTTAAAAGGATCCAAGGGATTACCAATGATCCAGGTGCCAATCCCAAAAGCATCCCCCTATAGGATGCATTTATGAAATGCTAATCTGTTTGGTACTGTAGTGGTAGACAGGGATATTCCAGCTCAGGGTAACATAGTTTTTACAGTATATTGATTCTGGTTCAGTGGAGGTAAACATAACTCCCCTATTTATTGGCTGTTTTTGTTTTTACACTAGCCTATAGAGGCAGTGTAGCTTCGACATTTGTGCCTGCATCTTTTGTTATGGAGCAATAGTAATCTATCAGGGTCAATTTCAGTTAAATCTAGTTCAATCTCAATTGACTAACAGTGACATGAATGTGTTCAGGCATATTTTGTTGACCTCTTTTCAACTCAAATTCAATGTCCCATTCATCTCCTGCTGAGACTGGAGCTGTAATGGAATTCACTCCATCTTTAGTAGAGTACTGTATGAATGCGGTAGCTGTAGAAGGAGCAAACTAGTGCTCTTCTTGTGTCAGATTAGAATGGAGAGGACAGCTGGGGTCTGGCCAGGGCGGGGCCCTTCCCGCAGATTGCCTGTGGGATTAAAGTTTTACAATTTGGACTAAATTTGATTATCTTTCTCCGCATCACCCTCCCCCTCTCTCTCTCCTCTCTCTCTCTCTCTCTCTCTCTCTCTCTCTCTCTCTCTCTCTCTCTCTCTCTCTCTCTCTCTCTCTCTCTCCTCCCTCGTTCTCACTTTCCCTTTCTATTTGTGGTTGTGTGTCTCTGAAGGGTTAGACACCTTCAGCCTGACAGCAGGTGTTGAGGTCTTAGAGCTCTTACTGAGTGCCACGGGGACTCTACCCAGCTCCAGCAACGGCCAGGACTCCACCCCAGCAGGCTCCTCCGAGGCCAGCCCCGAAGATGATGGAGAGGTCCTGAACCTGGCCGCTACACCTGGAGCCCAGGACCCCACACAGACTCCACCACAGCGCAAGCACTCTGTGCCCAGTGAGCACCACCGCACCCACCCGGCAGCCAACAAGCGGGCCATGGACGCCGTGGAGGACGGAGCGGAGGAAGGGGTGGGTCAGGGTGTGCAAAGATCAGGGTACAGGCCCACGCGGAGGGGCTCCCCAAGGCCCAGCACTCATACGCATTTTGACATCAACGAGCACCTGCCCTGGATGATCGTTCTGCTGCTGCTGCTGGTGCTGGTGGTGATCGTGGTGTGCAGCGTGAAGAGGAGCTCCAGAGTGCTGAAGAAGGGGCCAGTCCAGGACCCCAGCAGCATCATTGAGAAGGCCATCCAGAAGAAGACCTGCCCCCCGACACAGACCAAGGAGAAGTGGATCTACTACTCCAACGGACAGGGTGAGTGGACGCTTTATTTTACCTCTCAAGGTTTATAGAAAGAAATGCAACTTTGTTAATTAGTCTTTTTTTATATATAGCTGCATACTTTATATAGACAGGTAACAGAAAACATACAAACAAATACATTTTTGGTACAAAGAGATATTGGCGAGACTCTCAGCCGAGAAGACCGACAATTTGTTAACTGTTATTGCACCAGTGGGGAAATCTAAATCCAATCCATTCTGCCCCAGAACATGACACATAGCAGAACAGTATGGCTGTTACACAAGCAAGGGCATGGTCTGCAACAGACTGTAACTGCCACCTCCCCACACACATCTCCCTTTCTCTTTCTCTACCTCTCTCCCTTCCTCTGTTGTCTCGCTTTCTTTCTCTACTTCTCTCTTTAGCCCCTTCCCTCATGCCATACTCACTCTATCTTTACATCCCTCACCACTCAGTCCTCCTCCTTCTCTTCTTCTTTTCATTCTCTCTCTCTGTCTGTATCTCTCTCTCTCTCTCTGTATCTCTCTCTTCTCTCTCTCTCTGTATCTCTCTCTGTCTGTATCTCTCTCTCTCTCTGTATCTCTCTCTGTCTGTATCTCTCTCTCTCTGTCTGTATCTCTCTCTGTCTGTATCTCTCTCTCTCTCTGTCTGTATCTCTCTCTCTCTGTCTGTATCCTCTCTCCTACTCTCTCTCTCTGTCTGTATCTCTCTCTCTCTCTCTCTGTCTCTTCCTCTTTCGTTCTCCGTCGTCGTATCGCCTCTCTCCTTCTCCTCGTCTGTATCCTCTCTCTCTATTCTCTCTGTCTGTATCTCTCTCTCTGTCTGTATCGCTCTCTCGCTCTCTGTCTGTATCTCGCTCTCTCTCTGTCTGTATCTCTCTCTCTGTATCTCTGTCTTCTTCTCTCTCATCTGATCTCTTTTCTGTATCTCTTCGCTGTTATCTCTCTTCCTCCCTCTCGTCTCGTGTCTTCTCGCCCTCTCGTCTGTCTTCTCTCTCTCTCTTCTCTCTATCTGCCCTTCTTCCTTGTCTTCTCTCTCTCTCTCTCTCTGTCTGTTCTCTCCCCCTCCTCTCCTCGCTCTCCTCTGTCTGTATCTCTCTCTCTCTGCTTCTCTCTTCCTATCTCTCTATCTCTGCTTCTCGTCTCTCTCTATCTCTCCTCCGTCTCTCTGCTCTCGATCAAGGGTCCTCTCTCCTCTCTCTCTCTCTCTCTCTCTCTCTCTCTCTCTCTCTCTCTCTCTCTCTCTCTCTCTCTCTCTCTCTCTCTGATGTGTCTGGTTGTCTGTAGCCATGGGGGCCAGGGAGGCCGCATGGGGCTGCTAGGTTACAGTAGTGAAACCCCAGTACCGCAGCAGGCAGGCAGGAGGAAGAACGCCGCCAGCCGCAGCCTGATGTCAGCCTCAGATATCCATCCGCTAGTAAGCGAGAGAGAGGGAGAGCTCCAACCCAGTGCAGTTCAGTTCAAACCAGATTATTCCAGTTCTCTGTGGTTGGAGAGAAGCTCAACTTTATCATTGCACAGACACATGCCCCCCGGGAAAGGATGGAGGGAGGGCTGGGGAACGCTGGGTGGGCCGCTGCTTTCAAAGTTATGTGTCACTGAGGGTGTCGGTGGTCAGGGCTCCCACCGTGTGAAATTAAGATCTTAGCACATTCTACCGGTCTGCTCACACCACGTGAGAATGTTCTAGGAATGTATAGTAGGGATGTAGACATTACGAAGATAGAAAGGGACAACTGAAACATAATCAATAGCCTAATCTTCACATTCAGTCTGACTACATACAGTTGTGTATTCAACTTCCCTTTTTTGTTACTCATGAAAATACCCTTTTGAAATTATTTGAGAGAGCAATCTGACTGTTCTTTTTTCTTTAACAATTGATTCCTCAAGGAAAGTCCTCAATGAAAAACTGCTTTTGCATTCACAACTGCTTTTGCATTCACAACTGCTTTTGCAGTCACAAAAATGCTTCACATACTTTTCTTTACTGTTGTTTCAAAATGGTGGAGTAGTAATATTTTTATATAGATGTCCAGATCAGATACACAAATAATCTTCATTTTTACTGCGTTGTTTATCTACATTCAGTTCCAAAAAAGAGAATTTAATTGTATTTGAAACTTCAAACAACAAGTGAATTTACGGCATGTTCTTTAAAAACGATTACAGAATGTTTATCAAGTAGAAGCCGAGTTTTACATTCAGACCGTGTATGTGTGTGTGTGATTACACAGCTATTTACTCTCTCAAAGCAAAACAGTTTCTTAATTCGTCCAAGGTGTGTGATTGGCTACCCTGAAGGCTTTAATGTCTATTTATTAGAGTAGTTAAAAAGGCACACTAAACAGTGGAATGGGAAACATACTGTATATAAAGAAGATCATACAAATAGCTCATTATTTCATACAAGTCCAGAAAGTGGCGTGAAGGGCAAGCAGGGTGTACGTAGTGCAGATGAAAAGAATCCCCCCTGCTGTTTACGAACGCAAAACAGGCAGGGAAGTACCCAGGAGGCCGTGCTGCTCAGCTCCAGGGTGGGCCACATGGACAGGCAGCAGGGATAGGACCTGGGTGGTGGTGAGTCGGTTGGGCCTGCTGTGTGGGCTCTATTGCTTTCACGTGCCTCGGAAATCAGGGCAATTTGATAGGGACATCTTACAGATTTCCCTATCACTGTGTACTCTGTGATCTGACAAAGTCATTTCCTTCCTGGATTTGGACAGGATTTTGTATTATTACTTTTTTTTTATGCAGACTGATTTGATTATGATACCTTACGTTAATTCTGTTCTTTGACAAACATTACATTTTCTACAAAATGATCAACACTGAGCAAGAAATCACAGCACTAGGCAGTCAAGAGATTGAAACAATAAAAGTGGCTAAGCAGCAAGCTGGTCTTATGTGACCAGTTTGTCTCTTCCATGACAATGACAAGCTTACTTTGTCACCAGCGACAATCCCCAGAGAGGCTCAGAGCAAACGGGACTGGAGGGGGAAAAACTGCATGGCTGCCATTGTGGGCTGTTTGTGGCCTCGTTGTCATTCAGCCCACTCAGCTCAGACCTGCTGTGGCTGGTTTGCTGTCTCAATTGAGTTTTCTAATGGAAATATTACAGCACCACCACTTCCCATAATAGTCTGTGGTACTGGATAACCGTCAGGTCCTCTACTTGAAATGGATGGAGACTATGTGACAATATGTTTGGATTGTGCAGTAGTGGTACGTGGGTAAAATCACTGGGGAAGCCAAGCCATATTACAACCTACACTGTATGTGTTGTCATAATTGCGTTGTTTGCTGTTAATTCATATGCCTTGCGACCATGATATATAGGCCTAAAGGCAGAGACAATAAGAAGACAGTGGCAGAATAAATTCAATCACACCTTTGTTTTATCACAAAACTGGATAGCAACATCTGTCCGGTGAAGTCCACAACGCATATTGCATGTAACAGACAGTTACATGACCTACAGCATGGTTAAGCAAGTTAATGTTTCCGACATTTTCGGACTACTAAACAACTACTGATTTAGAACCACAGAGAGTTACCGCAACTCGCAAAGAAAACAGGAGCTGCCTCCACTATTCCAACATAATTTTAACTTCAACATTTCAACATCATCAAATCTCCTCTGCTTAGTCTAGTACAGTGACAACTAAAAGATACCAAAAACAATTTAGTCCAATCAACATAAGCTAAATATTATGTGGCTGTCCATGGTTCTGATCTCTGTTTGCATGTGTGTGTGCATGCGCGTGCTTTCGTGCAAGTAGAAAATATGTTGACTCACCCTACTTGTAGAGAAACGCCAATGCCATCCTCTTCTCTTTCATGTTGACGAAACGGTCTATCACACTGTCATACAGTACACGCTTAAATTTTTTGTTGTCCTAGGCTGGCTAAAACGCTTGTTCGCTAGCCTAACTTCCATTCATGGGCAAAATTAGCTAGTTAACATTAGCCTTCTACATCTAGTTACTGTACATATTGAACTTCCATTCTCTCAGACCAGGGTTACAACAATGTGGTTGGATCAGAACCGCCGTTATAAGCATTGGCCAGTACGGAGAATTAAGTAAATCCCTAACTCCATCAAATGGCTAATTTAGGAAAGGGTCCATTTTAGCTAGCTAGCCACAACGAGATGCAACAATTGAAGTTGTTTCTGTTAATGACATATGCTCTCAAAGCAATTTGATAGGTGAGACGCCAAATCCAAGCTGGCTTCCCTTGACACAATTTTTTTCTTCCCCAGGACCATTCACAGTTGAGCTCAACACTGATTGGCAAATTTGTTATACTTATTTGTCAAGGGAGGCCAAATGCTCGCTGGCTTCCCTTGCATTCAATGCTACGGACGGCAACAATTTCATACTCATTTGGACCAGGCAGTATCAGATAGATGGCCTACACGTAAAGAGACATAGGGGCGCTGTTTCGCTCGCTCTGATACTTTCTCCTGTGAGATACATTCAGCCTCTTGTGAATTGAAGGAATATTATGAAACACAGAGAGACGAAAGATAAAGTATTTTATGTTATAATTATTATTATTTGGGGGTACATTCTTTGGGGAAGCCTGGTTTTCCTTAGAAACCATGAATACACACCACTGGTATTGGGTGACTCGCTGAGTAACCCGTTGAATAAAGGCGTCAGCATGCTTCAGTTCAGCTGGCGCCTAGCCGAACCAAATGAGTGTGGTCGCATACTCCCTTAAAAGACCTTCGCTTGAAAAATTAGAAAAAAGCAGCAATAGTACTGTCTTTCCACTTTGAGACGCCGTAGCCAGTATACACTTCCTCAAAATAGTCCGAATTAGATAACTCAAGAAATCTGTCATTAATTTTGACGTTTTTGCCGAAGAGATCTTAGTCGCACAATTTTACATCTAACTAAGATGTTTGGTGCAGTATTTCTCAATGAATAAATGTGCATGAAAACGATTCGTCTCTCGTTGAACGACAACAAAGACTTTATTGAAGAATGCCTACTGTTGACCAATCACCGACCAAGGGGCGTAGACTTCGGCTACCGATTTCGGCTTGTGTGACGAAGCAGCCGAAAAAACCCTTACCGAAGTCCAAAACAAGTAAAAACGTCACAAAATGTAATCATAATATATCCACAAACTCATCCATTTCGGCTGGGAAGCATTACCTTACACATCTGACATGCAGTAGCTAACTTTCTCTGCCCTGCAGGCAACGTTAGATTTTTGCTTAATATCTATGTACCATCATCACTGTGAACTCAAATTATGTTTTACATCTAACTAACAGATTACATTTGGAGTCTTTATTACTTTTGAGCGTTCCCAATCAACCCTGCCCCTTTATTTACTAATTAGCAGCCATTTTAGGTCAGGCATTCTGTAGTCTGTTTATATCCAATCTGCCACCACTGCGTTCATATGCCTTGAGTTTTAGGAAGCTGACATAGCACTGCTGTACGCATCCACTAGCATACTGAAGCATCAGGATTAGATTTATGTAGGTCATCTATTATATCTCACTAAAACAGAGAGGGAATTTCTCCCTAACCTAGCTCTGGTACATTCTTAAAATCATTTCCCCTAAAGCAGATGACAGTATGCAGGCTTGGTAGGAACTGAAAGTGACTGTCACGCGAGGCTTCTAGGTATAGGGTCTGTCGGTCTCATCGTTCAACACAAAGTTATTTTGTGGCATGACTCAGACCCTCCGGGCAGGACAACTGTAGTGTAGCCTTGGTCTCGTCCAGATCACAAGCCAACCACCGCTGGCTTACAGCGAGTCAATCTCCCAGCTACAAATGCTACAAACCAACCTCGTATTATGCACTTTGCATGTTTGGGCTTTGATATTAATCAGAGATCACTGTGATCCTTATCAAAATTGAAACACTTTATAGTTATTTCTGCATAATATGGCCTTTTGTATGTAGAGTGAAGTTTAGGCCAATTCAATTTCACCTCCCTCAATTCAATAATGAATTTGAATAAATGTAATATTCAGTTAATACATTGGAAATCCCCCTGTGTTTTAATTAATCTTTTGTTTTTGATTTCAGTTGCTTCAAGTCGAATTATGATGCACAGACTTATCTTTCAATTGAATATGGTTATGCCTGCAGGGATGGCACAGACATGGGTTTTTTCTGCACCTGTTTTGAAGCGATCATGTTCTGTTTTGACTAAATGAAGTTATAACACCTAGTCATGTTATATGTCTGCCTGGCTGTCTGAATATAAATTAGTTAGGCTATTCACGTCTGATAAATTTCCTGTTGTGACAATTTTTCCCCCAGACATATTTATATTATTGTACAGTGCCTTCGGAAAGTATTCAGACCCCTTTACTTTTTCCACATTTAGTTAGGTTACAGCCTTATTCTAAAATGAATAAAATTGTTTTTTACACAATACCCCATAATGACAAAGCAAAAACAGGGTTTTCTACGTTTTTGCTAATTTATCATTTAAAAAAACAACTGAAATATTACATTTACATAAGTATTCAGACCCTTTACTCAGTACTTTGTTGAAGCACGTTTGGCAGGTACTTTTTCCACATTTAGTTAGGTTACAGCCTTATTCTAAAATTGAATAAATTGTATTTTTCCCCCCTCATCCAAACCACAATACCCCATTATGACAAAGCAAAAACAGGTTTTTAGAGATGTTTGAAAATTTATATATATATTTTTAAAAAAACATTTACATAGTATTCAGACCCTTTACTCAGTACTTTGTTGCAGCACCTTTGGCAGCGATTACAGTCTCGAGTCTTCTTGGGTATGACGCTACAAGCTTGGCACACCTGTATTTGGGGAGTTTCTCCCATTCTTCTCTGCAGATCCTCTCAAGCTCTGTCAGGTTGGATGGGGAGCATTGCTGCACAGCTATCCAGAGATGTTCGATCGGGTTCAAGTCCGGGTTCTGGCTGGGCCACTGAAGGACATTCAGAGACTTGTCCCGAAGCCACTACTGCGTTGTCTTGGTTGTGTGCTTAGGGTCGTTGTCCTGTTGGAAGGTGAACCTTCACCCCAGTCTGAGGTCCTTTGGCATACAGGCCAAAGAGTTCAATCTTGGTTTCATCAGACCAGAGAATCGTGTTTCTCATGGTCTGAGAGTCTTTAGGTGCCTTTTGGCAAACTCCAAGCGGGCTGTCGTACCTTTTACTGAGGAGTGGCTTCCGTCTGGCCACTCAACATAAAGGCCTGATTGGTGGAGTGCTGCAGAGATTGTCCTTCTGGAAGGTTTTCCCATCTCCACAGAGGAACTCTGGAGCTCTGTCAGAGTGACCATCGTGTTCTTGGTCACCTCCCTGACCAAGGCCCTTCTCCCCTGATTGCTCAGTTTGGCCGGGCGGCCAGTTCTAGGAAGAGTTTTGGTGGTTCCAAACTTCTTCAATTTAAGAATGATGGAGGCCACTGTGTTCTTGGGGACCTTAAATGCTGCTAAAAAAAATTGTACCCTTCCCCAGATCTGTGCCTCGACACAATCCTGTCTCTGAGCTCTACGGACAATTCCTTTGACCTCATGGCTTGGTTTTTGCTCTGACATGCACTGTCAACTGTGGGACCTTATATAGACAGGTGTGTGCCTTTCCAAATCATGTCCAATCAATTGAATTTACCACAGGTGGACTCCAATCAAGTTGTAGAACCATCTCAAGGATGATCAATGGAAATAGGATGCATCTGAACTCAATTTCGAGTATCATAGAAAAGGGTCTGAATACTTTTGTAAATAAGGTATTTCTGATTTTTTAAATACATTTGCAAAAAATTTATAAAAACCTGTTTTTGCTTTGTCATTATGGCGTATTGTGTGTAGATTGCTGAGGATTCATAAAAAAATATATATATTTTAGAATATGGCTGTAATGTAACAAAATGTGGAAAAAGTCAAGGGGTCTGAATACTTTCCAAAGGCACTGTATATGCAAGTCAACATGTTCTGCTGCATCCCTCAGAAGTGTGACTGGAGACAGCCAGGCTGGGTGTGGTGTATGATATCCTTCAGATAAGATCCTACAGCTTCAGCAAGGCTGTGGTGAGGAGGATAACCCCATGTTCTCTTTTTCCGCTCGCATAGTTTTGCACTAAACAAGTTGAGGCCTCTTAGCACTATTTTTACATGAAAACAAGCGAGTCAGCATTTTCTCAAACCTGTCACATAGCCTACATAACACAATCATCAGTAAAAATGCATTGGATGTCATCTAGCTGCCATGAACAGCAGAGAGAGGCCTTTGTTTCAGCACCTGGAACCAAAAAGGTTTCTTCATTTCAAAGCACAAAAGGCCGGACAGGAGGACAGGCCGGCAGTTCCTCAAGGGTCATTGAACCCAGCAGTAGGTTGTCTTCACATCCTGAAAATAACACTTCCTCCTTCTGGTTGAGACCAATTCAGCTTTATGAGCTGCTAGTGTCTTGGGACGGAGTCACGCTTAGTCTGTCTGGACAAGGTGCGCAAAGGGGACAGTTCTGGGGGGTGTGGAGGTGGAGGGTAGTGGTGAACTTCAGATGCATCTGCTGAGGCAACGCTCGGTGAGATATCACTTTCAGAGTGGATTCCTGGATTCCACTAGCTCATGATGCTGCATTCCTAATGAGCGCAAACCAGCTAAAACTGTTCTGTTCTGTTTACGTTCTAACTGAGACCTTAGGCTTATGGTAACTGAGAGGTCATAACCCCTTATGTAACACACTCGCATGTGAACACACGTGCAAGCAAGCACATATATGTGCACACACATACTCACTCACTCTCAACATTTCTACAACACAAATGTTAGATTACATTTTTTTATAGCATTTTATAAGAAAGGAACAAGGGCCTAGTGTGGTTGAAGATTATTTTGTTGTTGAATCTTATTAACAGTGTAAGTCTTTTAGTTGGCTGTTGCGTTGAACTGTTCTGACCTTACAATTAAGGAGAAATCAAGTAATCTAATTGCATGCTCTTTTAATGTGACTTCTAAGTAGTTAATGGGCTTAATTACTGGAAATTAAAAAAGGGTACAAAAGTCAAAAGGGGTAAATTATCATATGATGTCTCATGATCAACAAAGGATCCATGTGAATTAGTGAGTGACTTATTAGTCAAGAGTGACTTCCATTGTCAATCCATGGCTCCAGTCCATTCCACACATGGCATAACAATAACCTGTCCTCTCCTCTCTTTACCCAGGTGTGGACATCCTGAAGTTGGTGGCAGCTCAGATTGGCAGCCAGTGGATCGACATTTACCAGTCCCTGGCCAATGCCACAGAGCGTGAGGTGGCAGCCTTTTCCAATGGCTACCAGTCGGACCATGACCGGGCATACGCTGCCCTGCAACACTGGACCATCCGCGACGGGGACGCTAACCTGGCCAAGCTCATCAACGCCCTGCACCGCCACCGCCGCATCGACGTGGTGGAGAAGATACGGGGCATCATGGAAGAAAATCCTCAGGTATGCCCTACTACAGTACCTTGAATCTCTGGCATAAAGAATCTGTTATGTTTACCAGTGTACTCTCCCATCTTGAATCACAGGTGGGCTCTTTGGAGTAAATGGCACTCCTCTTTTATGAGTCTTCAGGTTCTCATATTATCTCATTAAATCTCCAGTGTACAAAGTCACTCACCAAGTCACTTCACGTGCACACAAACATAGAAATCACATATGGGATGACAACGTTAGTTTAAACAAGTCACAAGCGTGGTGGCCAACCCTCCTGCCTTAAGTGCCCTTGTGACTGTCCTGGCTTGGCCTCATAGCAATATAGAGGTCAATGGAGAAAGAGTGCTCAGAGGGGACAGTGGATCATTCATCGCCCTCCACTTTTCTCCTCCCTTCTTCCCTTTCTCCCAGATACATTTCACATTATCCCCATGTACAGTGTCCTTGTCTGCTCAAGGTTAGATTCTTACAGTTAAGGGCTTGTCATAGTCCTCTTAGAAAAGATATTAAGACCAGTAGATAGCCTTTTGTAATTTTGCTTGTCATCACGACTTAATAGTGATGGTAATACATGGTGTGGTTTATCTCAATCCATGGTAGATGAGATAGCAGGTCATACATAATTTGGTGAGGGAGGGAATAGGGAAGCAGAAACACAGTATGAGTAGGGAACATAATGTGCTGGAGGCTCCTCCCTCCCTCCCTCTCCCATGTTCCCTCAGTAAACTCTTGGCTGTTTCTACAGGTTTTCTCCTCATTCCATTGAATTAGCACTGGGTCATGTGGTGTAAGTGACTTAAGAGTAAACAACCAGGAAATACATCCATCATGTGCCTCATTGGTACCAGACATCAATATTTCAGACAGAGTGTACTGTAGGTCTACACGTATGGTATTCCTCCTTAGAGAGGTATAAAGTACAACCGCGTGGTTCCATTGACATAAGACTTCCCCATCCGTGTGAGTCATAAATAAGGTCTGTGTGTGGTGATTCCACCAGAGTGGGCTGGCTGTCTTATGTGTGGGAGGGATGGAGCCAAGGAAGGAGGGAGAGAGGGAGTAAAGGGAGGGAGGGAGGGGATGCTGTTTCCTGCTCCACCCCAGTCTTGTTTATTCATTAAGACACAGTTTGGATCTATGCTCCATGACTGGGTTATTTTTACACAAACCGCAGGTGGTGAGCCCCAAACATTGCTAATCTCACTGCCTCTCCAGTTGATACTCTCTCATTCCAATAGTGTGATTTCATCATAGCTTTAAGGCAAGGAGACTGAAGCGGAAAGGACAGAGGCTGATCCAGGTTGTGTGTGTGTCAGCATTTACGTGTAATACTGTATGTGTCAGCGTGTGTGTTGGTGTGCGTGTGGAGCAGGATGTCCTCGTGTTTAATTTTGCAGATGACCCACTCCTCCAAGTCATGGTCCCAGGGGGAGGTGAGCCATAGCTGCAGTGTGAGTCTCTCCTCCAGCCCTCTGTCTCAGCTGGTTAAGGCCTGACTGATGTCACTGCACTGTTAGTGTTAAATTAGGCTTAGCCATAGACGACTCACGCTGAAGGGCCTTGGCACAATGTAGCAGTATACGCCAGGACACAGAGATCATTTTACTAATAATGTCACTGTAAAAACAGTTTTGCCCCAGCATATGTTCAAAATACCAAATAATGTGTTTTTACTTTCCACTGTCTGTTTCATTGCCGCTGATAAAGTCTAGGGCACGTGTTATGATGCTTCAGTCAGCAAGGAACCTGCCTTACAGTACATATACTTGTTGTGATTTTGAAAGGTGTGTATGTGTGTGTGTGTGTGTGTGTGGATGAGTGTGTGTGTGTGTGTGTGTGTGTGTGTGTGTGTGTGTGTGTGTGTGTGTGTGTGTGTGTGTGTGTGTGTGTGTGTGTGTGTGTGTGTGTTTGGATGAGTGCATGTGTGCTAAGGTGCGGAGAGTCAGTGCAGGTGATCAGTCCAATTCAAGTGTTCAGCATACGTAAAAAATGTATACACACATGACTGTAAGTCGCTTTGGATAAAAGCGTCTGCTAAATGGCATATTATTATAATATTATTATTCAGCAGTCTGATGGCTTGTAGACAGAAACTGTCTCTGAGCCTGTTGGTATCAGACCTCATGCTCCAATACATCAATACAGGTCTAAGATTGAATCATACTACACTGGCTCTGACGCTCGTCGGATGTGGCAGGGCTTGAAAACTATTACAGACTACAAAGGGAAGCACAGCCGCGAGCTGCCCAGTGACACAAGCCTACCAGACGAGCTAAACCACTTCTATGCTCGCTTCGAGGCAAGCAACACTGAAGCATGCATGAGAGCACCAGCTGTTCCGGACGACTATGTGATCACGCTCTCCGTAGCCGATGTGAGTAAGACTTTTAAGCAGGTCAACATTCACAAGGCCGCAGGGCCAGACGGATTACCAGGACGTGTACTCCGAGCATGTGCTGACCAACTGGCAAGTGTCTTCACTGACATTTTCAACATGTCCCTGACTGAGTCTGTAATACCAACATGTTTCAAGCAGACCACCATAGTCCCCGTGCCCAAGAACTCTAAGATAACCTGCCTAAATGACTACCGACCCGTAGCACTGACGTCTGTAGCCATGAAGTGCTTTGAAAGACTGGTCATGGCTCACATCAACAGCATAATCCCAGAAACCCTAGACCCACTCCAATTTGCATACCGCCCCAACAGATCCACAGATGATGCAATCTCTATCGCACTCCACACTGCCCTTTCCCACCTGGACAAGAGGAACACCTACGTGAGAATGCTATTCATTGACTACAGCTCAGCATTCAACACCATAGTGCCCTCTAAGCTCATCACTAAGCTAAGGATCCTGGGACTAAACACCTCCCTCTGCAACTGGATCCTGGACTTCCTGACGGGCCGCCCCCAGGTGGTAAGGGTAGGTAACAACACATCTGCCACACTGATCCTCAACACGGGGGCCCCTCAGGGGTGCGTGCTCAGTCCCCTCCTGTACTCTCTGTTCACCCATGACTGCATGGCCAGGCACGACTCCAACACCATCATTAAGTTTGCCGACGACACAACAGTGGTAGGCCTGATCACCGACAACGATGAGACAGCCTATAGGGAGGAGGTCAGAGATCTGGCCGTGTGGTGCCAGGACAACAACCTCTCCCTCAACGTGACCAAGACAAAGGAGATGATTGTGGACTACAGGAAAAAAAAGAGGACTGAGCACGCCCCCATTCTCATCGACGGGGCTGTAGTGGAACAGGTTGAGAGCTTCAAGTTCCTTGGTGTCCACATCACCAACGAACTATCATGGTCCAAACACACCAAGACAGTCGTGAAGAGGGCACGACAAAGCCTATTCCCCCTCAGGAGACTAAAAAGATTTGGCATGGGTCCTCAGATCCTCAAAAAATTCTACAGCTGCACCATCGAGAGCATCCTGACTGGTTGCATCACCGCCTGGTATGGCAACTGCTTGGCCTCTGACCGCAAGGCACTACAGAGGGTAGTGCGTACGGCCCAGTACATCACTGGGGCAAAGCTCCCTGCCATCCAGGACCTCTATACCAGGCGGTGTCAGAGGAAGGCCCTCAAAATTGTCAAAGACTCCAGCCACCCTAGTCATAGACTGTTCTCTCTGCTACCGCACGGCAAGCGGTACCGGAGTGCCAAGTCTAGGTCCAAAAGACTTCTCAACAGCTTCTACCCCCAAGCCATAAGACTCCTGAACAGCTAATCATGGCTACCCGGACTATTTGCACTGCCCCCCCACCCCATCCTTTTTACGCTGCTGCTACTCTGTTAAGTAAGTATTTATGCATAGTCACTTTAACTCTACCCACATGTACATATTACCTCAACTACCTCAACTAGCCGGTGCCCCCGCACATTGACTCTGCAACGGTACGCCCCTGTATATATAGCCTCCCTACTGTCACTTTATTTTACTGTATATATAGCCTCCCTACTGTCACTTTATTTTACTTCTGCTCTTTTTTTCTCAACACTTTTTTTGTTGTTGTTTTATTCTTACTTTTTTGTTTAAAATAAATGCACTGTTGGTTAAGGGCTGTAAGTAAGCATTTCACTGTAATGTCTGCACCTGTTGTATTCGACGCATGTGACCAATAAAATTTGATTTGATTTGATTTGATTTGATCTGCCCGACGGTAAAGGAGAGAACAGCTTGTGGCTGGGGTGTGTGGGGTCCTTGATGATGCTGCGGCTTCCTCAGACACCGTTTTGAGTAGATGTCCTGGATGGGTGGGAGCACGGTCACAGTGATGTACTGGGTCGTCTTCATCACCTGCTGGAGGGCCTTGCAGTCCTGTACCAGGCTCTCAGTGGAGCAGCAGTAGTATTTGGAGAGGACCCGGGGTAGCATGCTGAATTTCTTCATCCACCTTAGGAAGTAGAGGCGCTGTTGCGCCCTCTTGACAAGAGTGGTGGTGTTGTTGGTCCATGTCAAGTCCTCAGTGATGCTGAGGAACTTAAAACTACTGACTCTCTCTACTGCAGTCCCGTTGATGTGGATCGGGGCATGTTCCCTCCTCTGCTTCCTGAAGTCAACAATCAACTCCTTTGTTTTGCTGACATTGAGGGAGAGGTGGTTTTACTGGCACCACAATGCCAGTTCACTTTCCTCCTCCCTTATAGACTGACTCGTAGTTGTTGGTTATCAAGCCTACAACCGTGGTGTCGTCAGCAAACATGATGATGGAGTTGGTGTCGCGCAAAGCCACACAGTCGTGGGTGAACAGGGAGTACAGCAGAGGACTGAGGACACACCCCTGAGGAGCCTCTTTGTTAAGAGTCTGTGGTCTAGCCGTCAGGAAGTCCAGGATCCAGTTGCAGAGGGTGATGTCCAGACCCAGGGCCCTGAGCTTGGTGTCGAGCTTGGAAGGAACAATAGTGTTGAATGCTGAACTGTAGTCAATGAACAGCATTCTCACATAGAGGTTCATCTTGTCCAGAAGTGTTAGGGCTGTGTGAATAGCGATGGAAATGGCTTAGTGCTTCATTGGTTGTTGGGTTTATCCCCGCTTGGGACAAAGCCTCGTCCCAAAGGTCCCTACTACTTTGAACACCAGAAAGACAGTGTGGTTTCTCTCAATAGCATCTATCTGACTAATTGGTTTCATGACAGCCAGTAAATTTGTTACGTGAGGAGGGGGAGGAGGAGGAGGAGGAGTAGGAGGAAGCCCATTGATCACTTCTGGGGGAGATGTTTAGTATCAGCTGTAACATCAGTGGTTGCAGTGTCCCATGGCTACTGTCTATGAGGGAGAGGCAGAGATAAGATCTGCCTATTAAACAACACACCCAGTGTCCAAAATAACCATACTGAGGCTAGGATTTCTCAGTATTAGCACTTATGTCTTGAAACAGCAACATATGAGGATTCACTTCAACGGTAAAGACTCTCTTTACCCACAATGTCTTATGACATTGCAGTTTTTTCAGAGCCTACTGTATTTTTCTGCTGAACAGGGTTTATGAATAGACATGCAACACATCTCTCCTAAGCTCCACAATTAGTAATTACTCACTTTAATTATTCACAGCTACTCTGCAGGGAATTATTATTAAGCAGATTCACTAAAGTATCACAGTGTTATTTTTGATCTAATTAAAAGGTGGATGTTCTCTGTGTCTCTGATGCCTCAGCAGTTCCTCCCTACACAGGGCCTGACCCCCTGGCATGTCTATTGTGTGTTTTAGTGTGTGTGTGCGTGTGTGTGCGTGTGCACGTGTATGTGTGTGTGATGCATGTCACTGTCCTTACCCTGGGATTTGATCAGGGCTGAGTGGTCCTGTGTGTGTTGACAGGCTATGTCAGTGACTCGGCCAGATCACGCTCTCTCCTCTAATGACTCAGTCACTGACTACTGAGTGACAACTCAGAGAAGCTTCTGGAACTGTGACACCATTTTCCCTGTTTTCTCCTAACTCTCCATGATGAGTGGATCTGAGTTGAAGTCGTTTCTTTGTAGCCTCTAGGGGTTTCTCTTGAGGGTTAGTTGGTAGGTTCATTTGGCTACATCTGTTCTCTGTGGGAGGTGGGAGGGAGCAGTGCTCTTATCACAGTAGATGTGTGTCATCCCCCGCCAAACTGACCTAGTGCACAGAATAACTTGTTATTGAATAGGGGAGATAGCAGGGGCTGCATATGGGTCATATACACACACACAGATGTACAGTAAGTGAGAACTGTCTGATGCCACATCGAGCTGTTTTATATCAGATTTTATGTCAGCATCAGAAGTTTTCCATTGCGTTCCTATGAAGCCATATTGAACCGTGTGTTATTGGCTTTTCAGCACTCTGAAGGTTTTCCATTGCATTTCCATCGCCTGTATGAAATGCCCTCTACCATGTCCTTTGTGCCTCACATCACACAGCAGAGCTTTTTTTTCTACAGTACCGAAGACAAAATGTTATTCTAACATGAGCTCATCGGGTCCGGTCACTACCAGTTCACACCATTACCATACCAAATAAGACTGTTATTTATGTCTTCCCTGGGCCCCAAGGCAGACACAGTGGTGTACTATGCCTGTTAGTGTGTGACTGGGCACATGTGGTCTCTGTGCAGTACATTCTGTGCATGTCCACAGAATCCCTTTCATGGCTGGCCGGTTGTGTACGCTCCCTGAGGCAAGGAGGAGAGAGGCGCGGGTGGGAGTGTGGGTGGTCTGGGGCTGGGAGATTGGCCCCGCTGTGTCACCCGACCCGGGCTGCATGGGGCTGGGGCTTGGCACACAGGAGCTCCCTGTCCTGTTCCTGTGCTCTGTCCTGACACCAGCGTGACTCAGAACACTGCTTTCTCAGCCATTGTTTCGCGACACTGACTCTTACCCTCTCTCTCTCTCTCTCTCTCTCTCTCTCTCTCTCTCGCTCTCTCTCTCTCCTCCTCTCTCTCTCTCTTCTCTCTCTCTCTCTCTCTTCTCTCTCTCTCTCTCTCTCTCTCTCTCTCTCTCTCTCTCTCTCTCTCTCTCTCTCTCTCTCTCTCTCTCTCTCTCTCTCTCTCTGTCTCTCTGTCTGTCTCTCTCTCTCTCCCACCCCCCCCCTCTCTCTATATATCTCTCTCCCCCCTTTCTCTCTCTCTGCAGTTTGATCTGAACCAGCTGATGACCGCTGTGAATGTAACCCCGAGCCACAGTCCTGTCCACAAGACTTTGGAGTCTCCTAGGGTGCTGGTGGAACAGTCTCCTGTGCACCGGACCAAGGGTTTCTTCCCTGACGAATCAGAGCCCCTTCTCCGCTGTGACTCCACCTCCAGCAAAGACTCCGCCCTCAGCAGGACCGGCTCGTTCATTACCAAAGGTGAGCACATATGACACAGTCCTGTTTCAGTAATTATGCTAGACAACGTCTCCTACAGATGTGATGTACTTATATTTACTGCCCCCTTCTGGTTACAAATTGCACCTGATTTTATATTCCATTATAGGAAGTCATCAACTATGAAGACTTTGAGAAATGAAGGGAAAGGGGGATACCTAGTCAGTTGCGCAACTGAATGTATTCAACCGAAATATGTCTTCCACAGTTAACCAAACTCTTCTGAATCAGATACATCTTAGTCATCATAAGGATGACTGGGCTTTTATTCCCAAAAGCACAAAAAGACAGATCATTTAGTCATTCATGATTTCCTATTCTATGGACAACAATAAGTTGTAGCTAACATCAACAGTATGTTGCAGTCTATCCTCCTCCTCATTCTGACGTTGTTTTCTTTCCCCTCCTCTCTTCACTTGTGATTTCCAGAGAAGAAAGACACGGTGCTACGTCAGGTCCGGCTGGATCGGTGCGACCTGCAGCCCGTCTTCGACGACATGCTGCATATCCTAAACCCTGATGAGCTGCACGTCATCGAGGAGATCCCCATCGCCGAGGACAAACTGGACCGCCTCTTTGAGATTGCCGGGGTCAAGAGCCAGGAGGCCAGCCAGACCCTGCTGGACTCGGTCTACAGCCACCTGCCTGACCTCCTATAGGCCCGCTGCTGTGGTGCTACAGACCTCTACTTTGGTCAGGGGACACCCCACTTCCTTCTGCTGCCAACCCCTCCTCCCCGGGTGTGGCTACCTGGGTGTGGCTTCCTCTCTTGACCCCCCCACACCCCCAAGTAGTGAGAGGCTACTTGATTCTGGCTACAGTTACCTACTCGCCTTCGAGTCCAATGGGTTCGCCTCCATTCCTAGTAGCCTGACTGAGTCCCCCACTCCTACAATGATCAGGGAGCCTCCCTCCCCTCTCTTGAAGTCTCCTTCCATCACTCCCGCCATGTTGAGGGAAGGGGACCAGGTTGTCCCCCTCTCTCACCACACAGCCTCCCTTGGCAAGCCAGCCTGCCTGGAGGAATGGCAGGACAGAGGGGCCAGGCTCTGTACCCCAGCCTGGAGTTCTGGACAGACAGACGCCTCGATACCACCACCATCACCACTATGCTCATTAAACCACTGCTATTGCCCTTGTGTCAATGTGACGTTAAAACAGTGTTCTCTTGACATTTTGGAGCTTCTTGTGGGTGTATCAGCCAGTGCTATAAACCAATATTCACTCATTCATGCAAGCAAACTTCAACAACACACGCTCATGCACAATGTCTAACAATGTCAAACATACTAAGACGCAGACTCATGATGCACAATGTCTAACACTAATAGTATGTTATATGATTGATGCACTAATTCTTGTTCTTTGAGTAACAGAACCATTTAATCGGTATGCATTCTGCCACATGTGCTTCAATGTCTCTTTGAAATGCTGTTTACTAACATTTCACAATGTATTATCATTTGTAGCTTTTTAGCTTTTTGATTTCTTGGCAACTATGTTTGTCATGATTATACGGGCATTCTGATGTTTCCCAGCTTTGTGTAATGAGACCATCTTACTGGATGTAAGATATGCATAGTTACTCCATATTCTACTTGAATCTGACTGTCACCTTCTGGATTGGGGTACTTGATAAAAAAAGATAATGTAGAACTATAGTTCCTTCTGAATTCCACATCTTAAAAAAGCACCACCAAAAAACATGTTGCTGTAAAAGGGTCAGTATTCAACTCACATATGCTATGAAAGGAACACAGATGGTATTTTTGCCAAGCCAGTCATATCAAGCTACTCTGGTGCTAGACTTGAAATTCTCTGATTGTGCATAATACTAGGATGATGTGGGGGGGCTTGCAGGACAATGGCTACTAAAGTATTCTGGACTTTGCGGAGGGTAAAGAAGATGAAGCTGCTGTGTACTTTGCTGAACTGAATTGAAAAGTGCAGTTTGAGCTATCCACATCTCTGTTGGGTCTAATGTAAGAGTGTGATTGTGTGCGTATACTACGAGTCTGAAACGTTGGAGCTGAGGTTTGAATACATGTACTCTGGTGGCTGTTTTGAAACTTAACACATGTAACCAGTATGTTTACTATGTAACTTCTTAAATCAACCAATTAAAGTTCAAAACTTTGTCATATTGTGGAGTGTGTCTTACTTCTATGACATATTTACTGTATTTCTCTTTCAGCAAGTATTTGTTAAAGTAACTTAGATGTTTTATACTGTTGCTCATTATATAGCACAAACCCTAGTGTGTGATTTGATATTCATTATGAAAGACTATTTCTCTTTTCTGAAGGTAGCGTTGGTTACAATTTCTCTTTCTGATAAGAAGATAGTCCTTCTGTTCTGAAATTCTCATTCTATTGTGGGGCTGGTACTTTTCCTCATTCAAGGAGGTGAGGAGTTAATGTTGATACTGTAGCCACACAGTCTTTCCTGTAATGTGACACAGATGCAATGGGGTGGCGTTTTACTGCAACGGCTGTTAATAGATGTATTTATTCTCCATAAAAGACTGTCTGCTGTTGTCTGTGTCTATGATAATAGGTAAGGGAGATGGGCTAGGGTTGGGGAGGGGTAGGCTTCATTCATCTCCACCCAGTCACTAGGGTATTGGAGAGAGGACAAAACATCCCTGCTCTATTTGATCCTGTGCTTCAAAATGTGCACAGTATGACAGTCCAAAAGGCTAAGAAGATTCAGTAACAACACACTATTTTAATGTTCAGTCATAACCACTACATATCGGTCTTGGACAATATCTCCATTGATTCTGTTATGCATCTGCGGCATCACACTTCACATAAAGGAACCCTGTTATTCTTACTTCACACAATATAATGTATTTGTATTTATTCAATAATAGTCGGCACATTTAAACGGGATAGTTCTTGCCAGACAGAGCCTGATGCTGATGTTACATGCCAGAGGATTAGATAACACTGTTAGCTGAGACAACAATGATGTGACTTGATGAACGACATTCCTTTGGCAGACATTGGCATCGCTTCAACATTCAAAAGTACCAGATCAGCTAGGCTGTCAATGAGTCACCAGAAAATACCTTAACTTGTATACTTTCACATGATACTCAAATTCTCCTACTTGTTATTCAGCAGTCTACAGTTGTGCGTTCATGCATATAGCAGAACATAGAGTACACCAGTAACAAAAGCAGTTGACGTTTCTGTGGTTTACTTTTATATGTGGTCATAAAGTGAGCAAAACTAGTACTTACTAAAAACGACCAATGTTGGTTAGATTGTGACAGTCTCCTGATGTCAGGGATAATCTTCTTGATTCCAAACATCAATTACTCTGTAGCTGGGAGACCTTCCCTCCTACATCGATAGCCTAGCTGCTATCTGACATTTGACATGGTGCAGGAAACAACCCCCCAATGAACCAGCCTGACCAGTAAGTCAAAATGGAACTACATTCTACATTGCGTTGCTGGGACAGCCACTGTAAAAAGTCCTGACTCAGATAGATGCTAGGCTATTGATCTTGAGAGGGTCTCCTGGCTGCTTTTCCACTGTAAATTATTGAACAGCCTGGGAATGTATGTGCAGAGGTGAAGTGTCACGCACTCAGGCCCCTGTTTGTGAAGAAAGGCTCTCATAGGGGGAAAGGGGAGGGATCTTCCATATTAAACCTCAGCCTCTGACACAAAATCTCAATTTAATCAATTTTAAATTCAGTTTGTAACACAACTAAATGGGTGAAAAGTCAAGGGGTGTGAATACTTCCTGAAGCCACTGTATATGTACATAGCTACCTCAATTACCTCTTGTCTATTTCTATATGTATTTTACCTTTAACTCTGCATTGTTGGAAAAGGACCCATCAATAAGCATTTCACTGTTAATCTACACCTGTTGTTTACAAAGCATACGACAAATAAAATGTGATTTGATTGTATGCAACTCTTCCAACATTGAACTTTTTTCACAAATGCCATCAATTTGGCGCCAAACCATTTACAAAAAATACATATTGACATAGTAAAATAAATAAAAGTGTGTAAAAACAATATATCATGGATTTCATGCTGAACACCAATGGTATTCACTAAATTGATGGTTTTATTTAGGATAATGTTTTACAGCTTTACATGTGATACAGTAAACAATAGCTGGAACGACCGAGCGAACAGACGCGAACTGGCTGAGTCAATTCAGTGGCTAGCTTTGCACTTGGCTAGCTAACAGTAGCTGCTAGGGGTAAGTCATAACCTACATTTGTGTTTTGTTTTTTACATATTGATAGCCCGAGTCGTTCAAGGAATTCGGGACATGGGTGACTAGTTAACGTTAGTTTGGCTCTCTCTGTGTGTTCGTGCCGTGAAAGGAGGGGTTCTTCTTTGTCTGAAAGCAATGGCTAGCTAGTTTGCTAACTATTCTAGCTAACTAACTGGCTGAATAAGTTGACGACGGACTCGCTCAAGCTGTCGGGACTAACCCACAACGTTAGACACGGACACGAACGATCTGCTTGCGTGTTGATACACTGGTGGTTTGTTGTGGCCGAGTATTGGCGCTAAACCGTGTTGTTGGAGTCCGGCATGCTAGCTGGCTGTGGCGTCTTAAGACTAAGTGCCTGGACGATTTTCACGGAATAATACTGCACCTAGTTAGCTAGCTGAATAAACTAAGTTAGTCTATTCCTAGAAAACATTGAACCGCTGTAGTTTACAACAATTATAGTTTCTGAGGTGGAAGTTGGGAGAGTTATATTGGGAGTTGTGGTGAGGGAGGCCCCGCTCTCTCCTTTCCCAGATGTTTAGTTCATTTCATTCCGATTTCCTCTGCATTATTGTAGCCATCTGCTGCAGCCTGTCAACTATGCCTCTGCCTATCCCTGTTCTCTCCTCTCCGCACAGGCTACACAAACGCCTCACACCGCGTGGCTGCTGCCTCTCTAACCTGGTGGTCCCTGCACGCACCACCCACGTGGAGTTCCAGGTCTCAGGCAGCCTCTGGAACTGTCGTTCTGCTGCCAACAAGGCAGAGTTCATCTCAGCCTATGCTACCCTCCAGTCCCTCGACTTCTTGGCGCTGACGGAAACATGGATTACCACTGAAAACACTGCTACTCCTACTGCTCTCTCCTCATCTGACCATGTGTTCTCGCATACCCCGAGAGCATCTGGTCAGCGGGGTGGTGGCACAGGAATCCTCATCTCTCCCAAGTGGACATTCTCAATTTTTCCCCTGACCCATCTGTCTATCTCCTCATTTGAATTCCATGCTGTCACAGTCACTAGCCCATTTAAGCTTAATATCCTTGTCATCTATCGCCCTCCAGGTTCCCTTGGAGAGTTCATCAATGAGCTTGACGCCTTGATAAGTTCCTTTCCTGAGGATGGCTCACCCCTCACAGTTCTGGGGGATTTCAACCTCCCTACGTCTACATTTGACTCATTTCTCTCTGCCTCCTTCTTTCCACTCCTCTCCTCTTTTGACCTCACCCTCTCACCGTCCCCACCCTACTCACAAGGCAGGCAATACGCTTGACCTCATCTTTACTAGATGCTGTTCTTCTACTAATCTCACTGCAACTCCCCTCCATGTCTCCGACCACTACTTTGTATCCTTTTCTCTCTCGCTCTCCTCCAACACTACTCACTCTGCCCCTACACAGATGGTAATGCGCCGTCGCAACCTTCGCTCTCTCTCTCCCGCTACTCTCTCCTCTTCCATCCTATCATCTCTTCCCTCTGCTCAATCCTTCTCCCTCCAATCTCCTGAACAGAGCTCCGGGCAGCTGAGCGGAAATGGAAGAAAACTAGACTCCCTGCGGACCTGGCATCTTTTCACTCCCTCCTCTCTACATTTTCTTCATCTGTTTCTGCTGCTAAGGCCACTTTCTACCACTCTAAATTCCAAGCATCTGCCTCTAACCCTAGGAAGCTCTTTGCCACATTCTCCTCCCTGCTGAATCCCCCCCCCCCCCCTCCTCCCTCTCTGTGGATGACTTTGTCAACCATTTTGAAAAGAAGGTTGACGACATCCGATCCTCGTTTGTTAAGTCAAATGACACTGCTGGTCCTGCTCACACTGCCCTACCCTATGCTTTGACTTCTTTCTCCCCTCTCTCTCCAGATAAAATCTTGCGACTTGTGATGGCAGGCCGCCCAACAACCTGCCCCGCTTGACCCTATCCCCTCCTCTCTT